TGTTGTATATGTCGCTGGTACCCCTGCAGCTGTACATGCAGCTGTCGCTCTGATTCGCTTTGCTTCTGCTGCATATCCTGAGCTCACAAACCCTAAACCCTAAACCCTAAACCCTAAACCCTAAACCCTAAACCCTAAACCCTAGAAAGTAAATGTTGAATACTATAGTGTTTAGTTTGTGTTTGTTAGATATCAAATACAAATCCCTAAACCCTAAACCCTAAACCCTAAACCCTAAACCCTAAACCCTAAACCCTAAACCCTAAACCCTAAAACCCTAGACCCTAAAACCTAAACCCTAAACCCTATACCTAAAACCCTAAACCCTAAACCCTAAACCCTAAAAGATCGGAAGAGCACACGTCTGAACTCCAGTCACCGATGTATCTCGTATGCCGTCTTCTGCTTGAAAAAGCCTGCAAGAGAAGATCTTTCTGCAGCATTTGCTCTTCTAGGATTTTTATTTGTTGTTTTAGGGTTTCATCGAAGGGGTTGCTTGTCTCCCGCGGTGTCTCCCCCTGCACACAAACCCTAAACCCTAAACCCTAAACCCTAAACCCTAGAAGAGTAAAACAGTCGTAGACTATGTGGACATGCAGCGACGAGCAGCAGCAGCAGCAAAGGCAGCAGCAGCAGCAGCAGCAGCAGCAGCAGCAGCAATAACAGAGGCAGCAGAAAAAAGAAGCAGCAGCAGTAGCAGCAACAGCGACAAGCCTGCAGCAACAGCAGCAGCAACCACAAAACAGCAGCAAAAGCAGCAGCAGAAACAGCAACAGCAGCAGCAGCAGCAGCAGCAGTAGCAGCAGCAGCAGCAGCAGCAGCAGCAGCAACAGCAGCAGCAGCAAAAACGCACGGGTTTATTGCCTGGTGTTTGAGTATCCCACATAGTATCATCGCCAGATAGATTTCTGTCTCCTTGCTGCTGCTGCTGCTGCTGCTGCTGCTGCTGCTGCAGTTTTTTCTGCTGCTGCTGCTGCTGCTGCTGCTGCTGCAGTTTAAGGAGTTGTATGGGGGGGGGCTCGTCTGGGTGGGGTAGGTCCCCTATCTTTCCTTCCCCCAGCAGCAGCAGCGTTTGCTGCTGCTTCTGCTGCATTTTATTTTTTATTGTTATTTCTTTTTTACAGCTCCAGTGACAAAGAAAACACAAAAAACAACCAGACAAACCAGCAGCAGGACGCGCATGCGGGAAGCCCCCGCCGCAGCCGCAGCGCATGCACGGGCGAGGCAAACCGTGTCTGCAGCAGCAGCAGCAGAAGCAGCAGCAGCAGCAGCAGCAGATGATGGTGGTGATGATGATGATGATGAGGGTGTAGTATATGGAGAAGAAGAAGCAGCAGCAGCAGCAGCAGCAGAAACAACAGCAGCAGGGAGGAGGAGGAGATTAGCACAGAAGGCGCAGCAGCAGATAATACAGCAGCAGCAAAGGGGGCAACAGGAGCAGCACAAGATACAACAGCACCAGCAGCAGCAGCACCAGAGAATA